GAGGGCCAGAGTGAGGGTAAGAGCGTGGCTCGGAGACTACCACTGGATATGCTTCCCAGGGTCAGGGTCCAAAAGATGGGGGTGCAGGAGAGGATGGAGAAAAGGCATAACGTCACTGAGAGACTGCGATTGGGAAATTTCCATCTGATGCCAACAGTGGTTCTGGTTAGGCAACGGGCAAGATGAAACTGCTACCTCAAGGGGACAGTCCCAGTGATAACTCCCTGGTGGAGTAAAGGGAGGGAATCAAGGAGACTGGAGTCAGGGAGGTCTCCAAGGAGGCTGTCCAGGGCATCCCGGCTGGGTAGGGGACAGAAGGGGAGGGCGCAGAAAACCGAGGAGTGGTGGGAGCAAACCTGGGTGGCAGCAAGACAGGCAGGGTGAGGAGGGGAAGAGAGACGGCAGAGCTGTGGGGGAGCAGGGGGTGAGACGAGGAGGTAGAGAGAAGCCAGTGTCTTTGGCACAAAGAGAGAAGTAGCCAAAAATAGGAGAAGAGATGATTTGGGGGGAAGTTTGACATCTCGATCACATGTATTGAATCTGAGTGGAAGACAGAACATCTCCCTGGCAAAAACTGGTAGAAAGAGGCTGTAGGGGTGGAGCCCGGCCTCGGTGAGAGCCAGCCCGCTGAGTAAAGACAGATGCCTCATCTTAGTCTACTTATTAGTTCTTCCAGCTTCCTCAGCTCCAGAGTGCTGGAGGATAGACCTGGGACAGACCCTCCGGAAAGCCACACCGAAGGGCTGGGATGCAGCCCTGGAGCTAGGAAAGGTGACAGAGTAGAGCTTGAGAGGAGGGAGAACCTTACCAGCAAGCAACTGCGCTTTCTATTTATTTACTTAATCTTTATTGGCTTTAGGATGCTTACGCCCCCAGAGACAGAGAAAGAGGGAAAGTGAGAAAGCACCTCCCGGGGGATAACATGCCACACACAATCTCTTCTCCTCCCTTCTCCTCTCGAGATTTGGGGCACACATGCACGACATGTTTTTCAAGTCACAGGGTCCAGTACTTGAACCTCCCAGTTAGCTGTGTGGGATCCAGCTACCTTAATCATCACGCCACTGGCTAGCCTGCAACTGCACTTTTTACCTGCTAACTAAACACCATCCCAAGCCCTTGACCAATACGGACACTTAATCCTCACAATTATGATTATACATCCCCAGTGTGAGGATGAGGAGACTGCTGTCACTACTGAGAAGTGAAACCTGGACTTGAACCCAGGCAGTCTGTTTCCAAAGTACTCTTTTTTTGGGGGGGTGGGGTGGGGTGGGGAGGTTTTTGCTATAGGGTGCCTGCACTCGAGACAGAGAGACAGAAAGTGAGAAATGACCCCCCATGGGGGATGGCCATGCTGCAATCCCTTCTCCTCCATTTTCCTCTTGGGATCTTGGGCACGCATGCACACGCGCCCAGCGAGAGTTTAAGCCACTGGGTCCAGGACTTGAACGATAGTAGACCACATGGGAGTCCAGCGACATAGCCATTATGCCAACTGCTGGTCCCCCAAGGTTGTGCTTTTAACCAGTATCCCTACTGTCTCCAGAGCAGGCAGGAGGCCAGCACAGCAATGCAGAACTGCACGCTGAACATGGGACACCCCGCCATGGTGGTCACATCCCCCTGTGCCTCTGGGCCCCATAGCTCCTCTTGGGGGCCTTGATGGACTTCACTCCTTGGAGGGTTTTCATTGCTCTGAAAGGTGGTCTCCCTTTCTTACCCTCTCTCATTTCAAATGTCTTCTCTTTTATGGACATGCTTCCTGAACTCTAAATCCTTCCAGCTGCAGCCTCAACCTTTCCCTGAGGTCTTCTGCTGCTGCAAGAGTTGCAGAAGGGCCACATAGACCCTTTCTGCGAGACACGTGTGTGGGGGCCTGAATGCTAATTCTGCCCTCTCACACCCCTGCTTCTCTGGGCCACACAGTCCAGTTCTTACTTCTCCTACATTCCAGAGCTAGCCCCTCCTTCCCCCACCACCTCAAATCCAGGCTCCCAGCTGGCAGACACCCACGGGAGGGGTTTTCCCACAATCCTTTGCTCTTTGCCCTTTCAAGGTTCTCAGGGGGGAGGGGATGACGAGGGGCCACCCAGAATGCACCCTCTCCATAAAGAATGGCGGTGATATGTCACTTAAACTCAGAAGAGGGAGGAAAAGCATTGAACACAGCATGTGGGAGAGACTGAGGCCAAATGGTAACCTTGACCGGCAAGCTCGTTCTCCAGAGCTGCCCCAGCCAACCACCTTCTCTGGGTGCTACAACACTTGGATTCCAACTCTCCCCTTCCTCTCTCATCTTTCTGTCCTTTCATCTCAACAGTGTGCCTTGGACTGTCCCTTCTCTCTGCCCCTTCCAGGCCCTCACTGCTGTCCTGGACAGCTTGGCCTCAGCCTGGACAGTAGCACTGAGCAGTCAGGCAAGAGAAGAATCTAGGCCGGGGAGGGGAGGGAGTATGGACGTTTTTTTTCTTCTGTCCCAAATAATCTTTGGCAGGAAAGTTTAGGGGCTCTTTCCCTCCCTACCAACGCTGGGGGACTGGCCTATCTTTCTACCTCATGTGCAAACATGAAGCATTTTATTAGGAGACCCAGGGGTCTCCTTTAAAGAAATGGGTCTTTCTGCTTTTTCTAGAGCCCTCAATCCCCATATCCCACCAGTCCCCGGATGACACCAGAGAACTCCATCTGTATCCACCCAGATCCAAGTGTCCCATGTTCTGTGGTCCCCAGGAGGACGAGGGAAGACCCTTGGGTCTTCTGCCAGTCACTTCCCTTCTAGCCCAGGCCAAAAAGATGGCATGTAACTGAGCTCACACACAGTGGCACAGGTGGCAACCGTGGGGCACCATTCAGTGGGACCCGAGGAGGTGGAGGTGGACGATGCCAGTGGGTAGATCACTAATCTCCACCCACAGACATATGCGCCCGTGGACTGGATATGAATAGACGCTGGCATGATGGATGTTTTCCTCAGGGTAGGGGGCAGCAGTTGGATTCTGCGTTCGAGTCAAAGAAGCAATGGGACCATAACCCTGCCCCCCCACCACTCCCAGTCCTTTCTACCCCCACCCCCCCAGTCAGTGGAGTCATTGCCATTTGATATCCGCTGAGACAACTTGGCTGCTCGGGCTCTGGTAGGGGGTGGGGGTGGCTCAGAAAACAGCAGCTCCTTTCAGGGCCCAGGTTGGCAAGAGCTTTGGGAGGCTGGACAGGCCCGGATCACCCCCAACTCCCCCTCCCTCCCTCCCTCATCGCCACCACCAAAGGACTGGGAGGGCAGCGGGCGGGAGAAAAAGGAGTTGGCACTGCCTGGGCCATGCCTATTGCTTCCGCAGCCTGGCCCTGGACCCTCTCCCTGGCCCAACGCCTTCCTTCCCCATCGCCCCCGTTTCCTCCTCCCTGAAGAACCCACCATGAACCGGAACACCTGGCTCCTTCTAGACTTGGATTTCCATATCCAGTTTACACCCTGAGGAATGAATGAGCCCTTCCCTGGGCAGGGTGGTGCCCACCATTCTGCCAAAAACTTGTCGAAAACCTTGGGGATTAGGGAGAGAGTTTCAGGATGAAACTAAACTGAATGCAGCCTCTGCCGCCGGCTCCTCCTGGGGCTGAGGTCTTGATACCCACTCTGGACCCTCCTCAGCATCCCTAAACAACACCGGACGGCACCAGATCTGCCATCCCCAGCTCCCTCCCACCCAGGCTGCCTAAAGCAATCCCAGGGGGGAGAAAGAAACACTGCAGGAGAGCTGACCGGCTGGAATCCTTAACTCAGAATTTGTGTTGATAAGCAACAAAACCAGGCTTTAAGATCTGGCCTCCTTTAGGTCCAAATTTGTACTGGCTTCTTCCCCGCCTCCAGTCCCACAGCTGTCTCACCTGGCCTGGGCATTTCGTTTACTGGAATGAAATCTCAGGATACCAGAGAGCTCAGCGCCACTTCGTCCCCGTCTTGCCCTTCTATGCATCCCAGGGGTCAGCTTTCCCTCCCAGATCAGGAAGTCCCAGTGGCCATCTCTTTTCTAACTCAGGTGCCCTTAGGTAGCTCCTGAGTTGGGGGCTAGGGGGTGGAATGGGTAGGGGTTTCTTCTCCAAGATGGTGAATTTACAGACCCGACTCGGCCCTCTCTTTCTCACAGGAGTGGCCCTGCACTGGCGGTAAGGGGAGGGGTGTCTCGAAGTGGAAGCCAAGTGGAAGTGGAAGGAAGACACCGGGTGGGTGGGAGCCCCAAGCTCTGGGACCAGGCTACTCCATCTGCCCGATGTAAGTGCAAGCATGTCGCTCTCCCCACTGTTAACTAGCGATCAGAGGGTGTCAGTATGCGAGTGCCACTGGATGGGGGGCTGGGCGTGGGAGTCATGTCATGTAGAAGGAGGGGGCACAGCCTGGTGCGGCAGTGTTGGGGGTGCGTGGTTATGCGTGGTGGTCACTGTACTGATTGGAGGAGCAGATGCAACTGCAGCTCTGCCCAGTGGGAGGGGGCGTCTGGAATGCCTCTTCCTTAGATGCTGAGGGCACAGGTGACCAGCCTGGGTGGAATTCCCTCCGTAAGGAGCCCTTCCCAGGAGGGTCAGTTTGGGACTGTCCGAGGCAGGACGCTAGGGAACAGGACCAGAGCTCTGAGGCCAGCCAGGGTAGGGACCGAGTGACTGGGGGCCCCGATGTCTCTGGAGAGTTAGGAGGGCAGGACCCCGGCCGGGGCTGCAGCACTCCTTCATCAGGGCCAGGGTCTTACCTTGGGTCCAAGTTGGAGCGGCCCCTCGGATGAGCCGCGGGGCAGCGGGACAGATGGACGGGGCGGGCAGTGGTGAGGAGCGGAGCTGTGCGACGGGCAAGGCCAGGACTCTTAAACCCGGAGCTGGGATCAGATAAGGGCTTGTCCGGGGGCCGGGGCCGGGGTCGGGCCGGCCGGGGGCAGAGCTGGGGGAGAGTGGAGCGCCAGGCCCGGGCGGCTGGGATTGGACGGACTTGGGCAGGAGGCGGAGCGGAGGGGGGCGAGGAAGCGGAGACCCAGACAGATGGAGGCTCAGAGAGAAACACCCAAAGACATAGACCCAGACAGACGCAGCGAGAAAGAGATGAAGAGACGATATGCGACGCGATAGACGCTGAGTTGGCAGGATGACAGGGGGAAAGCGAAGGAAGAAAAGGAGAGGTCTAGTCGGAGACGGAGACCAGAGCGGAGTCGCGGGGGCGGGACTGGGGCGAGTTAATGAGGTGGAAATGAATTCAGGGCCGGCCCAGTAGCCCAGCAGGCAGTGCCGAAGCCGGCGCCCGGGAGTGGGATCTGGGCGGACCGGACAGAGGTTCCCGGGGTTGCAGACTACATCAGTGAACACAATTTCCGTGTTGTTCACGGCTCCCGAAGTACCAGGTGCTGGGAGCGAAACGAAGAACATCCTGCCTGCAGCGGCTCCGTGCGGAAGCCGGAACCCTCAGCGCAGCGCAGGAGGTACCGAAGGCTGCAGCGAGGACCAGATCACCCTACTTAGGAAGCTCCTGGCAGACGTGGGAGCAGAAAGGTGACATCTGATAAGGGTCCCAAAGGACGCAGAGGATTCAGATACTAGGAGCCGGCAAGGAGGGCGTTGAAGGCAGAGGGGGTTGCACAGTCTGCTTGGGAAAGCGCAGCAAAGCGCTGCAAAGCGTTCCACTGAGCACAGGACGGTGTGCCCCAACCTTTCACCCCCAAAACTTTCATCACCTGAATCCAGATTTTGAAAGATTTGTGTGTGGGTGTGTGTGTGTGTGTGTGCACCGTCTCCTTCGTTGGCGTTTATTAAAGAAGAAAGTAATTATTCCCCCCATTTTTGTTCATCACAGACATTAAACTACTAATCAATTACGGGTGTTACCATACTGAGTTGATATAAATCTGGGGGGAGGCTAGAAATGTTAGTTTTGTTTAGCCTCTAAAAGCCAAAAGATGAGGAAATGTGCATTTCAAATAGTCCTCCCTGGGGAAAAGATAGGCACCACGGGCACGGAGTTCTTAGGGGGGAGAATATTCTAGAATAGTCTAGAAAATATAGATCCCTGCCAGTTTGTGGTCAGCCCAGAGTTTCTGTAGAATGGGGAGCAAGGGAAGATCCTTGAGCATGGGAAAGACAGAGCTATGGCAGGATTTTAGGACGATTCTTCTGGAGTTGAGCAGTATGATTTGAACCCAGGGGAAACAGTCGGCAAGCAGACTGGATAGACAGTAATGGCATACCGTAGATGTGAAGACGAGCCAGCTGGTGAGGATCCTGAGGTGGGGAAGTGGAGGTGGTGTGATCAGAGCTGAGGGGAGTTGGAGAGGGGCCAGAGTCAGAGAGAGAAGCGTCTGCCAGGACAGGGGAGTTACGGTAGCTCCCAGTGAAGACTGAGCAAAGGAAAGAGCCTGGTACAGAGAGTAAGGAAGTGCATTTAGAGGACAGGAGGGGGAAGGACCCCCGGAGAGAGACAAAGTCTCCAACAGGCAGGAAGGAGACCAAGAGACATCTAATTGATGTCACAAGAGCCGAGGAAGGACAAGCTGTTGAGGAGGAGGTCTATCAGACTTGGCAGATGCGGAGAGAGGAAGCATTATATTTGCCAACAAGAGGTCACGAGTGACATCTGAGAGCAGTTTCAGAAGAGGGGGCAAGGTTGGAACCAGATTATAAGGTCTCATTAGAAAGTGAGAAAATGTTGGGACCAGCAGGTGGTGTGGTGGCTAAGGTGCTGGACGCTCCCACATGGCCGATCACTGTTCAAGTCCTGGACCTGGTGGCTTGCTTTCCCACTTTCTCTCCCTCTTTCTCTGTCTCTCTCTCTAGTCAAATTAAAATAAATGAATGAATAAATAAAAATTTTTTAAAAAGAAAGTGAGAAAATGTCCACAAATATAGGTTATTCTTTTATCTTTATTTTTTATTGTTAGAGTGTATTTATTTACCTCCTCCACAAGCATGAGAGAGAGAGAGAAGCAGCACTCCTAATGGGATCTTGACACTATGATTTACCTCCCAACCGCCAGCCTCAGCCAACCGGGGATCATGGGCACGCACACGCATGCCCAGTGTACTCAGGAAGGTCATCGCATGCAAAACCAGGACTTTCCCATGATGGCCAGCCTTGCAGAGTGTCAGCCTTGTGGAGTGTCACACTCTCCCAGGGCACCGCCGTATGAATACAAGTTCGGGTTACTCTTTTGAGAGCTTTATTGGGAAAGGAGAGAAATACAATAGAAGCCAGAACACTGTACGAGAAACCACCTCCCAGACTTTCTCCTTCACACTCCCAATCCCTTCCTACAGTGGTAGGGATGAGGGGCTGTGGACATGTCTGCTGGGCTGATAGAAGAGCTTTGAGGTAATAAGAATAGAATTTCTAAAAGATACCTAAGGAGGCCATAGTCTTGACATGCAGAACTGAAGATTTAGAGGCACTGGTTAAACCCCAAGTGGACATCAGAGAAGTGAAAGGAAAGAATTGCAATGACTTGTGGTGGAATCATTAATAGACATGTATCATGTACTTATTATTTCTCCCTAATGTTATTCAGCATTTGGCTTCAATTGCCACCCGTGTGTTAATATCTGCAGCCCACCTGGATGCCCATTTCAAACTCAGCATATTTATTGATTTATTTATTTTATTAATCAGTATTACTATTATTTTTTAATTTGACCAGAGAGAGACAGAAAGACAGAGAGAGGGAAAGTGAGAAAGCAAGCTACCAGGTCTGGATCTTGAACCATGGTTGGTCATGGGGAAGTCCAGCACCTTAACCACAATGCCACCTGTTGGCCCCAAAACTATAAGCAAGTATAGTTATCCTTTTATTTTTAAATATTTTTCTTAAAGTTTATTTATTTCCCTCCTCAAAGAACATGTCATCTTCTTCACAAGAGAGCTCCCCTTCATTTATTCTCTCCCACAGTGAATACACTACCATCATCCAGCCAAAAACATGGCAGCCATCCTAGATTCTTCATTCTCCCTCCCTCTTCTCCATTATCTGATCAGTGCATCTTCCTGAATATCACCCCCTTCCTTTCTATCACACAGATATTGCTCCCTTCCATTTCATTGCTATGGCCAGGATACCACCACCTCTCACCAGAGCTACTGCAACAGCTTTCTAATAGGTCTACTTCCAATCTTCTCTATCCTAATAACTATTCAGATTGTGAATTCCTTTATGTAAAGGCATTTAATAAAGGAATTATTATAATAATATACATATCACTGAAACTCAAATCTAATTGTGTCACTTCCCAGCTTAAATATTTTCAATAACTGCCAACTGTCTATGGGTGCAGTGGAGTCCAAGTTCTTCCTGTTATGACCTGGACCTGGTGCCATTCCAGCCTCATCTTCTTCCGCCACCCCTGCTCACCTACATTCATAGCCACTCTCTCCTCCAATACCCAAGGTTCAGTCTAGGTCATTCTTCTGTGTCTTGTTCCTTGAACCTTTGTCACTTATAGAGCCCCAGCTGTTGTCTCTGAGTGATACCCAAATCTCTATCTTCAACCCAACATTCTCTCTGGGGCACCACCTCCATAGTTACAGTTGCCTACAGGGGATTTCTGCCCCAACGGGACGGGTCCTAAACTGAACTCACCATCTTCTTCCCCTGGTTGGCAGTGCTCATGACTTCCCTATTTCAGTGTTACTTCTGGTCAACCCAACTAAGAAACTAAAAGTGGTCTTTACTCTTCTCCTTTGCCATTCTTCTATTCCTGACATGTCAACTAAGCCCTAGATCTTGCCAAGTCTCCCTCTGTTCTCTCTCTCCCTAGGATGTCCTTTCTCATTCCTGTGTTGACTACCAGGATCATGAAGATCACTACCAGCCAAGGACCTGACTAACCTCCATCCTTCTCTCCAATGTCAAAGGAAGAGGCAACCTGACGTCCACATGTCAGTCCCTGTGCTCTTGTATCAAAATCCCAAGTGGGTGCCCTTGTGTAGTTACAGATGGAGGTCCAGAGTCCTTTGCTTAATACTTAGGGTAAGGCTCTGAGGGGGGAGGGAAGACAGTCAAAGGGCAGGAGCACAGTGAGAGACCTTGTGGTGAAGGAGAATATCTCTGGAGAAGTTCCTTCCAAATGATCTTTAGTTTTTCTGCACAGCAGAAGAATCATCTACTAAAAATTAGAATTGGGGTGGTACAGGGTAAGACTGGGCAGTTTATAAAGAGTTTAAAAATGCTGAAAAAGCAAGGCTGTAAGATTGTGGAAATGTACACGGATAGCTTCAATAGCACTGCAATGCTTTAATTTCCTTTCTTTCCTTCATCCCTTCCCTGTTTCCTTCCTTCTTCCCTTCACTTTCTTTTTTCTTTTCCTTTCTTTTGTCTTTCCTTTCCCTCTTTTGCCAGAGGTGCATACACTTACCAGAAATAAACAGAAAAAGAGAGAGAGGGAGAGGGAGAAAGGACCTTCAAATGGGTGGGGTTACATCAAAATCCCTTCTCCTCCACTTTCCACCGGGTTGAGATGTTGGGCATATTGCCAAACCCAGGACTCAAACCCTACTCCATGTAGGATCCAGCTCCCCAAAACACTAGGTCATGGGACCATTCTGTAATGTTCTAATTTTTAAAAGCAATTTAAATTGAAATTTTTTATTCTTAAATTATGACCTAAACACATACATATATATCTGTCATCTATATTCCTTTATATATATCAAATGTTAGTTTTTATTTTTATTTTTTTGGCCAAAGAAAAGTCCTAGACTGGTCACTAGAAACTTAAGAGGGAGCCAGTGATAAGAGGTATAGAAAATTAGAACATTATTATTTGTGATTATGTACTATGCAAGATATATCTTGAGATGGGGAAACTGAGGTTCAGAGAGAGCAAGTGGTTACCTATGGTAACACAGCACAAACTGTTATATTTGGGATCTGAATCTACATGT